GGTTTGTAAACCTTGTCATCCAAAACCCTGGGTTGTATTCCACATTTGTTGTCAGCCAGCACAACCTTGTACACTGAGACTTGTAAGGATGTTATTGGATCCCAACTCTGTGCTGAGAGCCCTGTGATGGCTCCAGAGCTCCAGATGGTGCCACTGCCTGGGAGCCCTGTTGCTTAGGCTGGTCTCAAAACTTCTGGAAGGCACAAACATTTCCTGGACAACTGCTGTAGGCCCAGCTCGGGGCTAGTGCTTTATGAACACTTGTATGATGGTTGTGACAATTTCTGACCAGGAGCTAGCCTGTTATTATGGTTGTGGGGTGGTCTGTGAGAGCCAGGCCTCTGCAATTGTGGTGCCCAGCAGCAGCTGAGGCTACTGGGGCTGAGTGATGAGGAGAAGGAACGAGGATTAAGAACCGCACAGTCTGGTTGGGTGTGGTGGCTCATGCCTGTAATCCCAGCATTTTGGGAGGCCGAGGCGGGCGGATCACCTGAGGTCAGGAGTTCGGGACCAGTCTGGTCAAAATGGCAAAACCCCATCTCTACTAGAAATACAAAAATTAGCTGGGCATGGTGGCAGACACTTGTAATCTCAGCTACTCGGGAGGCTGAGGCAGGAGAATCACTTGAACTCAGGAGATACAGATTGCAGTGAGCTGAGATCACGCCACTGCACTCTAGCCTGGGCAATAGAGTAAAACTCGGTCTCAAAAAAAAAAAAAAAAAAGAAAGAAATGGCTAGTTGCGGTGGCTCACACCTGTAATCCCACCACTTTGGGAGGCTGAGGTTGGTGGATCACCTGAGGTCAGGAGTTTGAGACCAGCCTGACCAACATGGTGAAATCCCATCTCTACTAAAAAATGCAACAAAAAATTAGCTGGGTTTCCAGGAGAGCGTCCTGTAATCCCAGCTACTTGGGAAGCTGACGCAGGAGAATCTGTTGAATCTAGGAGGCAGAGGTTGCAGTGAGCCAAGATCATGCCACTATAAACCAGCCTGGGCAACAGAGTGAGACCCATCTAAAAAAAGGGAAAAAAAAGAAATGGACAGTTCAATGTCCAGCCCCTGCAGGTGTTCAGCTGTGTGACTTCTCACCTGGGCAGTTTCTGGAGGAGGGAGCCTGGAATAGGGCCTTGAAGGATGAGTAGAATTGAAAAGCAGGGAATGAATGCTGGCTGGGCATGGTGGCTCACGCCTATAATCTCAGCACTTTGGGAGGCCGAGGCAGGTGGATCATGAGGTCAGGCGTTCAAGACCAGCCTGGCCAAGATGGTGAAGCCCTATCTCTACTAAAACTGCAAAAATTAGCCAGGCATGGTGGCGGGCACTGTAATCTCAGCTACTTGGAGGCTGAGGCAGGAGAATCGCTTGAACCCAGGTGGCAGAGGTTGCAGTGAGCCAAGATCCTGTCACTGCACTCCAGCTTGGGTGACAGACTGTCTCAAAAAAGAAAAAAAAAAAAAAAAAAGCAGGAGATGGGAAACAGGCAAGAATGTAAGTGGAGTATGGACAGGTTGGAGAGCTGGAGTGATCTTCAGGGCCCTTTACAGTCTAGGCCCTGCTTGCAAACTCAGGCCTTTATCCAGAAGCAGTGAGAATTAGGGAGGTCTGAGAGCAGCCTGTGGCCCCATCAGACTCACACTGAGAAAGTTCACTCTTCTCTAGGAGGCTGGTGCACTGGTGAGGGAGAGAGGGAGCCCAGTTAGGGCATCTTTCACTGTGTGGCCGGTGGAGAGGGTGTGGCTGAGGGGGAGCAGCGGCCTGGGTCGGAAGGTGGCCTGTGGCTAGGGTAGCTCAGGGACGGCACAGCATAGGAGAGTGTGGTCTGGTGGCTGTGCCAGTGAGGGGCTGTGTGGGTGGGGTCTGGCCCTGGGGGCACAGGTGAACAGGTGTGTTTCTCCTCCCCAGCGCATGGTGAGGTGTGTACAGCTTCCCGTGGACTCAGTCTCTTCCCCGAGTCCTGTCCAGATTTCTGCTGTGGTACCTGTTATGACCGATACTGCTGCTCTGACGTGCTGAAGAAATTTGTGTGGACCGAGGAAGGGTGTTCTGTGCCTGAAGCCAGGTGGGTGCCCCGGTGGGTCGCAGGGTGGGTGGCTGGAGCCTGTGCCCCACAGGAGAGTATGTGGAAGAGAAATGGCTCTGCCCCTCTGGCCTCTCAGCCCACTCCAGGTGGTGGCCAGAGCATTGGACCAGAGCACTTAGGGAGCCCCTGTTCTGGGCTGCTCAGTTAGCCTGCTGTTCATCTCCCCACTACCCTGTGGATTCTGGCTGGCTGAGCCTTGGTCTAAGTAGATTTCTTAAGGATCCTTGGCCTCAGCTGGTCCTGTGGCTCACCCCTGGGTGTGTACCTGTGTCAAGATGTCCTCAGAGTGGGTACCTACAACCTCCACCTTCTGGGTTCACGTAATTCTGCCTCAGCCTTCCAAGTAGCTGTGATTACAGGTACCCACCACCACATCCAACTAATTTTGTGTATTTGTAGTAGAGATGGGGTTTCACTGTGTTGGCCAGGCTGGCCTCAAACTCCTGACATCGTGATCCACCTGCCTCGGCCTCCCAAAGTGCTGGGACTAGAGGCATGAGCCACCATGCCTGGCCACATATTTATTTTTGTGAGATGGAGTCTCACCGTGTTGCCTAGGCTGGCGTCAGACTCCTGGGCTTGAGCTGTCCTCCTCCCTTAGCCTCCTGAGTAGCTGGGACTATAGGTGTGCACCACCGTGCCTGGCCTATGTATTTAATGAGATGGCTTATGACCATCTCATTCCCTTCCCACCCCACAGGCAACCAGTCTGCTATGTATAAGGAGCAACCTTTTTATCATTTGTGTTCTTGCAAAGTCAGTGTAGTGTAAGACCTATCCATGTTGCTGTGGCACATCTGGGTTTTGCCCACCACTGCTGTGTCCCTCTGGAGGGTGTGAGTCCATAGTGGTTGCCATGATAGATCGCTTCAGTGGGCCTCCTGATATACCTCCTTTTATGGAGCTGTGTAAGACTTTTCTTGGAAACACATCTGGTCGTGGAGTTGCTGTGTCATGGAGAGGCACACAGCCACGTCACGCCTGAGGTTCCTGACAGGTCATCTTTTACCCTTTCACTTCACCTTTTGGCATTTTTATATTTTACAAATGTCTTTTTTTTTTTTTTTTTTTTTTTTTCCCCAGCTGGATTAAGGACCTAATGTGAAAAAGCAAAGTTATAAAGCTATTAGAAAAAAATATATAGGCAAATGCCTTTGTGACTTTGCGATGAGTAAGAATTTCTTAAAGAAGAAAATGGCTGGATTTGACTACTTCAAAATGAAAGACTTTGCTTGTATTAGTTAGATTTAGGCTTATTAGCAGTCCACGGCTGGCATCTGAGATGTTTTCCTAACCTCAGCACATGACTCCGACTTCTCAATCCAATATTCCAACCTCCAAGAAGGAGGAAAGAGGAAAGAAGAAAGAGGGAGACTTCGAGAATACTGCCCACAAATTTCCCACATATTTTCTCTTATATCCTATTGGTCAGAATGTAGGCAAGTGGCAACACCTGCAAGGTATTTTGGGAAATGTAGTCTTTATGGCTGGAAGCCTTGGGTCCAGCTACAAATCAGAGTTCGTATTTGTTTTAACTAGGAAGTAAAGGGAGGGCAGTTGTTGGAGCTGGCTAGTAGCTATACAACAAAGAAGTATCATAGACGGAGTTCATGCCAATTCAACTGAGAGAATATATTTTCAGTATATATGACTGACATTAACATCTGTAATGCACAGCAAATCAGAAACAAAACAACAAAAAAAGAGGGAGATAAATCTGTGTAAAAATGTGGAAAGGATATGAGCAAGCAAGTCATAGAGGAGGAGGCCAGAATGGCTAATAAACAGAGGAAGGGATGTTTCATCTCATTAATAATCGGAGAAATGCAAAATGAAGTGAGAAATGGATACCACTTTACACCCAATAATAAAATATAGGATAATATCCAGCTGTCAGGGATGTGGGGAAAATGCAACCCTTATGCACTGTAGGGGTCAGTGAAAATTTTTTTTTTCTTTTTCTTTTTTCCACGAAAACGAGCAAACTAAAATTAAAACAAGCTGAAGCAACAAAATAATTAATGAATTTAAGCAAAAATTAATGCGACAGGGAATAGCAAAACTAAAGGCAAAGAAAAAACCCAGTGAAATCAAAAGCTAGTTCTTTGGAAAGAACATAAATGGGGCCGGGCGCGGTGGCTCAAGCCTGTAATCCCAGCACTTTGGGAGGCCGAGGCGGGTGGATCACGAGGTCAAGAGATCGAGACCATCCTGGTCAACATGGTGAAACCCCGTCTCTACTATAAATACAAAAAATTAGCTGGGCATTGTGGCGCGTGCCTGTAATCCCAGTTACTCAGGAGGCTGAGGCAGGAGAATTGCCTGAACCCAGGAGGCGGAGGTTGCGGTGAGCCGAGATCGCGCCATTGCACTCCAGCCTGGGTAACAAGAGCGAAACTCCATCTCAAAAAAAAAAAAAAAAAAAGAACATAAATGGGACTTTACTACTGACCCTACAAATATTCAATGGATTATGAAGAAATACTATCAATAATTTTATGCCAATAAATTAGATGATAGGTGAAATAGACAAATTCCTAGAAACACATAAACCAGTAGAATTGACTCAAGAAAAAATAGATCATCTAAACAGATGTATATCTTAAGAGATTAAAAGGAAATCTGGGCCCAGATGGCTTCACTGCTGAATTCACTACCAAACATTTAAAGAATACTAACTCTTGGCCGGGCGTGGTGGCTCAAGCTTGTAATCCCAGCACTTTGGGAGGCCGAGGCGGGTGGATCACGAGGTCGAGAGATCGAGACCATCCCGGTCAACATGGTGAAACCCCGTCTCTACTAAAAATACGAAAAATTAGCTGGGCATGGTAGCACGTGCCTGTAATCCCAGCTACTCAGGAGGCTGAGGCAGGAGAATTGCCTGAACCCAGGAGGCGGTGAGCCAAGATCGTGCCATTGCACTCCAGCCTGGGTAACAAGAGTGAAACTCCGTCTCAAAAAAAAAAAAAAAAAAAAAAAAAAAAAAGAATACTAACTCTTCACAAAGTCTTCTGAAAAACAGAAGTAGGTAACACTTCTTTTTTTTTTTTTTTTTTTTTTGAGAAAAAGAATAAAGAAGAGGAAGAAAGAAAAAGAGGAAGAGGGAGAGAGGATGGGGGTATTGCTTTATTGCCTGGGCTAGAATGCAATCTAAATATGGGTATGCCTATATTTGTCCTTAATAATGGAGATATGAAAGAAAATGAGGGAAGAGAATAACAAACACGGAGCCAACCAACATTTCGTTTAAACTTCTAAGTTGATATGATGTGGTACTGATCTATGTATTCCTGTATTGGGTGCATATATATTTAGGATCTTTAGCTCTTCTTGTTGTTGCATTGATCCTTTTCTCATTATATAATGTCCTTCCTTGCTTCTTTTGATCTTTGTTGCTTAATTGTAACTTCTGCTTTTTATTTATTTATTTTTGCTCTCTGGTTGGTTGGTAAATCCTTCTCCATCCCTTGTTTTGAGTCTTTGTGTATCCTTGAATGTGAGATGGGTCTGGATGCAGCATACTGATGGGTTTTAGTTTTTTATTCAAATTGCCTATCTGTCTTTGGATTGGGGGATTTAGTCAATTTAAATTTAGAATTAATAATAATATATGTGAGTTTAATACTGCCATTTAATATTAGCTGGCTATTTTGCCCATTAGTTGATGTAAATTCTTCATTATATTGATGCTCTTTTTGGTATTTTTTTAGAAAGGCTGATACTGTTTGTTCCTTTCTATGTGTAATGGTTCTTTCAGAAGCTCTTGTAAAGCAGGCCTGGTGGTGATGAAATCTCTGAGTGCTTGCTTGTTGACAAAAAACTTTATTTTTCCTTCACTTGTGAAGCTTAGTTTGGCTGGATGTGAAATTCTTGGTTGAAAGGTCTTTTCTTTAAGGATGTTGAATATTGGTCCCCACTCTCTTCTGGCTTGTAGGGTTTCTGCTGAGAGATCTGCTGTAAGTCTGATAGGCTTCCCTTTGTGGGTAACCTGACCTTTCTCTCTGGCTGCCCTTAGTATTTTCTCCTTCATTTCAACCCTGGTGAATCTGACGATTATGTGCCTTGGAGTTGCTCTTCTTGAGGAATATCTCTGTGGTGTTCTCTGTGTTACCTGGAGTTGAATATTATCCTGCCTTACTAGGTTGGGAAAATTTTCCTGAATAATATCCTGAAACGTATTTTCCAGCTTGGATTCATTCTCTTCATCACATTCAGGTACACCTATCAAGCGTAGATTAGGTCTTTTCACATAGTCCCATATTTCTTGGAGACTTTGCTCATTCCTTTTTATCCTTTTTTCTCTAATCTTGTCTTCTAGTTTTATTTCATTGAGTTGGTCTTCGACCTCTGATATCCTTTCTTCTGCTTGATCAATTCGGCTGTTAAAACTTGTGCATACTTCACGAAGTTCTTGTATTGTGTTTTTCAGCTCCATCAATTCACTTATATTCCTCTCTAAATTGTGTATTCTTGTTAACATTTCGTCAAATCTTTTTTCAAAGTTCTTAGTTTCCTTAGATTGGTTTAAAACAAGTTCTTTTAATTCACAGGAGTTTCTTATTATCCACATTTTGAAGCCTGCTTCTGTAATTGGAACACACTCGTTCTCCATCAAGCCTTGTTCCGTTGCTGATGAGGAACTGGGATTCCCTGCTGAGGGAGAGGCGTTCTGATCTTGGGCATTCTCAGCCTTTTTTGGCTGTTTTCTTCCCTTCGTTATAAATTTATCCATCTGTGGTCTTCGTATTTACCGTCTTTGTAATTGGTTTTCTGAGTGGACGTCCAACTTATTGATTCTCAGCGCCGAAATCTGAGCAACCCACTGCGCCGACTAAATCAGCGGCGTTAAGATTGTTGGTGCTTTTCTGACTCTGCAGCAAGAACCGATGCTCCGAGGTGCCGGCAAAACCGCCTCGCCGGTCACAAGAGTCGCGCCGGCGACCCGTGGGGCTCCTCCGCTGGGAATCTCCTGGTGCGTGAGCAACAAGAATTCATGTGAAGGTGTGGCGTCCTCTCGTTCTTTGTGCTTTCACTGGGAGCTACAATCCCGAGCTGCTAGTGATCAGCCATCTTGGATCTCTCTCTCTGCAGTAACTCAGTACAAATGTCTTTCTTAAAAAACCTATCGTGGTATTTGTTTTTTCAAAGCAGGAGCATTTATTCTATTTATTTATTTTGAGACCCAGGCTGGAGTGCAGTGGCTCGATCTCGGCTCACTGCAAGTCTCCACCTCCTGGGTTCAAGCGATTTCCTTGCCTCAGCCTCCCGAGCAGTCAGGAACACAGGTGCACACCACCACGCCTGGCCCTATTCCATTTAAATTTAACGTAAGGGCTAGGTGGGTGCCATGGCTCATGCCTGTAATTCCACCTCTTTGGGAAGCTGGAGGATCACTTGAACCCAGCAGGTTGAGGCTGCAGTGAGCCGTGACTGGTGCTCCTGTATTCCAGCCTGGGCAACAGAGCGAGACCTCATCTCAAAAATAAATAATTAATGTAATGTAGTTATTGATATTCTGAGGTTATATTTGCATCTTTTGTGCCATTTGTCTCTCCCACACTTTCCTTTTTTTATTTCCTGTATTGTTTTGGTTTTACTCCATATTTTTCTTCGACTATTACTTCTTGTTTTCTATTCTGTTTTTTTTTTTTTTTGAGATGGAGTTTCGCTCTTGTTACCCAGGCTGGAGTGCAATGGCGCGATCTCGGCTCACCGCAACCTCCGCCTCCTGCGTTCAGGCAATTCTCCTGCCTCAGCCTCCTGAGTAGCTGGGATTACAGGCACGCACCACCATGCCCAGCTGATTTTTTGTATTTTCAGTAGAGACGGGGTTTCACCATGTTGACCAGGATGGTCTCGATCTCTTGACCTCGTGATCCACCCGCCTCGGCCTCCCAAAGTGCTGGGATTGCAGGCTTGAGCCACCGCACCCAACCTTCTATTCTGTTTTTTATTTTAAATTTTTATTTTGTCTTATTTTGTTTTTTATGTTTTTGAGATGGAGTCTTGCTCTGTTCCAGAGGCTGGAGTGCAGTGGCGTGATTTCAGCTCACTACAACCTCTGCCTCCCAGGGTCAAGTGATTGTCCTATCTCAGCCTCCTGAGTAGCTGGGATTACAGGCACGTGCCACCATGCCCAGCTAATTTTTAAATTTTTAGTAAGAGATGGAATTTCACCATGTTGGCAAGGATGATCTCAATCTCCTGACCTTGTGATCCGCCCACCTCAGCCTCCCAAAGTGCTGGGATTACAGGCGTGAGCCACCGCGCCCGGCCTATTTTTATTTTTTCTGGAGTCTCCCTCTGTCTCCCAGGCTGGAGTGCAGCGGCATGATCTCAGCTCACTGCAACCTCCCCCTCTGAGGTTCAAGCAATTCTCCTGCTTCAGCTTCCTGAGTAGCTGGGACGACAGGCACACGCCCCCATGCCTGACTAATTTTTTGTATTTTAGTAGAGACTGGGTTTCACTGTGTTGTTGCCCAGGCTGGTTTCAAACTACTGAGCTCAGGCAATCCACCTGTCTTGACCTCCCAAAGTGTTAGGATTACAGGCGTGAGCCACTGTGCCTAGTTGAGATGATTGCATGATTTTAAAATTTTCTGTTAATATGATAAATTGCATTACTCTGCAAAACAGTATTTTATGTGAGTACAGAGCGTAGGTTGATGGTTATTTTTTCTTAGCATATAGAAGCTTCCATTCTACTGTCTCCCAGTTTCCACGATTTCTGTTGAGACATCAGCTCAACAGCTAGTGTCCCTCATTGAAAAGAAATCTCTCTCTCTTTTTTTTGAGACAGGGTCTCACTCTGTTGCCAGCCTGGAGGGCAGTGGTGCAGTCACTGCTCACTGCAGCCTTGACCTCCTGGGCTGAAACATATCTTCCTACCTCAGCCTTCCAAGTAGTTGGGATTACAGGTGCCTGCCACCATGCCTGGCTAATTTTCATTTATTTTTTTGTAGAGATAGGGGTCTCCCTATGTTGCTCAGGCTGGTCTTGAACTCCTGGGCTCAAGTGATCCTCCTACCTCAGCCTCCCAAAGTGCTGAGATTACAGGTACACCTGGTTGAAATCTCTCTTGTTTTTTTTTTAAATTTTTTTTCATGTCAGATGGGTAATGTGCTGAGTCATAACAAGGTTCAAGATGGCACATCTCACACAAGCTTGTGAACGCCCAATCATCATGCTCAGGAACTACAAAAGGATCTCTCTCTCTTTTTTAAAACCCTCTGATTGCCTTTTTTTTTTTTTTTTTTTTGGACGAAGTCTTGCACTGTTGCCTGGGCTGGGGTGTGGTGGTGCGATCTCGGCTCACTGCAACTTCTGCCTCCTGAGTTCAGGTAATTCTCCTGCCTTAGCCTCTTGGGTAGCTGTAATTACAGGCACATGTCACCACACCTAGCTAATTTTTTGTATTTTTAGTAGAGACGGGGTTTCACTACGTTGGTCAGACTGGTCTCAAACTCCTCACCTTGTGATCCGCCCTTCTCAGCCTCGCAAACTGCTGGGATTATCGGCATGAGCCACCTCACCCAGGCGTGATTGCTTTTTAAGATTTTTTTTTTTTTTTTTTTTTTTTTGGCCTAGCACTGTAGCTTATGCCCACACCCATAGTTCCAACACTTTGAGAGGCCAAGGTGGGCAGATCACATGAGGTCAGGAGTTTGAGACCAGCCTGACCAACATGGTGAAACCCCGTCTCTACTAAATACAAAAAATTAGCCGGGTATGGTGGTGCATGCCTGTAATTACAGCTGCTTGGGAGACTGAGGCAGGAGAATCACTTGAGCCCGGGAGGCGGAGGTTGTGGTTAGTCGAAATTGCACCATTGCACTCCAGCCTGGACAAGAGAGAAGCTTCGTCACAAAAAAACACAAAAAAACAAAAAAACAACTTTTTTTTTCCTTGTCTGGTGTTCAGTTCACTGCTGTATGTAGATATGTGTTTTTTCTTTTTATGCTGCTAAAGATTTGTTAAGTTTCTTAACTTTTTTGAGGGGGAAGCTTTTTTTTTCCTTTTTGTGGAGAATGGGGTCTTGCTCTATTGCCCAGGCAGGTCTCGAACTCCTGGGCTCAAGCTCTCCTCCCACCTCTGCCTCCCTAATAGCTGGGATTACAGGCATTGAGCCATTGCTCTGGCAAGGATTTAAGTTTCTTGAGGCTGTGGTTTTGTGTCTCATCAGTTTAGGAAAATTCTCTGTCCTTAATTTTTTCTTTTCTTTTTTGAGTCTAAATTTAGCCCTGCCCAGGCTAGAATGCAGTGACACAATCATGGCTCAAACAAACCTCCTGCCTCAGCATGCCAGGTGGCTATGTCTACAGGTGTGTGCCACCATGCCCTGCTATTTTTTTTTTTTTGAGACGGAGTTTCACTCTTGTTACCCAGGCTGGAGTGCAATGGCACGATCTCGGCTCACTGCAACCTCCGCCTCCTGGGTTCAAGCAATTCTCCTGCCTCAACCTCCTGAGTAACTGGGATTACAGGCACGTGCCACCATGCCCAGCTAATGTTTTGTATTTTTAGTAGAGACAGGGTTTCACCATGTTCACCAGGTTGGTCTCGATCTCTCGACCTTGTGATCCACCCACCTCCGCCTCCCAAAGTGCTGGGATTACAGGCTTGAGCCACCGCGCCCGGCCGCCCTGCTGTTTTTTATGTGTTATTTTTGGTACAGATGGGGTCTTGCTATGTTTGCCCAGGCTGGTCTTGAACTCCTGGCCTCAAGTGAACCTCCAACCTTGGCCTCTCACAGTGCTAGAATTACATCTGGTATTCCTTTTTTTTTCTTGAGACAGAGTCTCACTCTGTCACCCAGGCTAGAGTGCAGAGGCGTGATCTTGGCTCACTGCAACCTCTGCCTCCTGGGTTTAAGCTATTCTCCTGAGTAGCTGGGATTACAGGCATGTGTCACTGTGCCCGCCTAATTTTTTTTTTTTTATCCTGAGACGAGGTCTCACTCTGTCACCCAGGCTGGAGTGCAGTGGCATGATCTCGACTCACTGTAACCTCTGCCTCCCGGGCTCAAGTGATTCTCCTTCCTCAGCCTCCCGAGTAACTCAGATTACAGGTGCATGCCACCACAGCTAGCTAATTCTTGTATTTTTAGTAGAGATAAGCTTTCACTGTGTTGGCAAGGCTGATCTCAAACTCCTGACCTCATGATCCACCTGCCTCAGCCTCCCAAAGTGCAGGGATTACAGGTGTGAGCCACTGTGCTTGGCTGTTAATCTGCTGTTAAACCCATCCACTGAGGTTGGTTTATATGCCGTTAATTGTGAAATATAATTCACAGAAAAGTACACAAAATAAATGCATATACAATTCAGTGATTTATCAAGAAGCAACTGCTCACCACAAGCCATTGCTTCTTGATAAATCACTGAATTGTACCATAGACACACGCCACCACTCACAACTATATGCATTTATTTTAAGTATGTTCCTAGTAAAAGAGGTAAGAATCAAGTTTCGTTTTTTAATATGGATATCCAGTTGACCAAGCACTATTTATTGGGAAATCCTTTTTTTCTATCACTTCGAAGTTTCAATTTTGTTACAGATTGAGTGTTCACGTGAGCATGGATATGTCTGTAGGTGCTATTCTGTTGCATTGGTCTGCTTTTCTATCTGTGAGCTAACAGCAGCCTCATAATTACTGTAGCTTTATAATAAAGCTTGATATTCTTCAATATTGTCTTGGCTATTTTTGTCTCTGGTATTTCCATATAAATTTTAGAATCAGCTTGTCAATAAAACTAACTTGGACTGCATTGAGTCTATAGAATATTTCTGCGGAGTTGACATTTTACTATATTGAGTTTTCCAATCTGTTAACATGGTATATCTGCTCATGTATTTAGTTTTTTTTCCTTCTCTCTCAATTTTGTATTAGATATATGTTTCTATTCAAAGTCTTATCTTTCATTTTTTCCTTTGTATATTTTTATGGTATTATAAATAGTATAGTTTAAAATTTTTATTTTCTAATTGTTTATTGATACATAAATGTGGAAAAACTGGCTGGGTGTGGTGGCTCACATCTGTAATCCCAGTGCTTTGCGAGGCTGAGGCAGGCAGATCGCTTGAGGTCAGGAGTTCGAGACCAGGCTGGCCAACACAGTGAAACCCCATATCTACTAAAAAATACAAAAATTAGCCAGGCATGGTGGTGTGTGCCTGTAGTCTTAGCCACTTGGGAGGCTGAGGCACCAGAATGGCTTGAACCTGGGAGGTGGAGGTTGCAGTGAGTTGAGATTACACCACTGCACTCCAGCCTGGGCAACAGAGAGAGAGACTCCATCTCAAAAAAAAAAAAAAAAAAAAAGTAGAAAAACAAACTCAGAGCACTTTTTTTATTCTCTCACACTGCAACAATCAACACAACATTTCTGTGACCAAATGTGTGGGAGTTTCTCCCCATATACTGACGAAGCAATTTTTTTTTTTTTTTGAGCCACTACATTCCAGCCTGGGCAACAGAGTGAAACTCCCTTTCACTTAAAAAAAAAAAAAAAAAAAAAAAAAATGTGTTATAAAAGGAACGTCTTTCTTTTTTTCTTTTTTTTCTTTTTCTTTTTTTTTTTTAAGATGGGGTTTCACCATGTTGGTCAGGCTGGTCTTGAACTCCCGGCCTCAGGTGATCCGCCTGCCTTGGCCTCCAAGTGCTTGGATTATAGGCGGGGGCCACCACGCCCAGCCAAAGGAATGTATTTCTTCTGGGTATGTGTCTAGGAATGGAGTTACTAAGTTACTGTGTGCATGTGTTCAGGTATAGGCAGATAACCTTCCAAACAGCTTTCCAACGTGGTATGAATGTGCCATTTATACTCCCTCCCGCCGTATATGAGGGTTCTCGTTTGCTCTACATCCTCTTCAAAACTCGGTATTGTAAATCTTTTTTAAAATATTGAGATTGTACCCCAAAACCTAAAATGCAATTAAAAAAAAAAAAAGGTAAGCCGGGCGCGGTGGCTCACGCCTGTAATCCCAGCACTTTGGGAGGCCGAGGCGGGTGGATCACGAGGTCGAGAGATCAAGACCATCCTGGTCAACATGGTGAAACCCCGTCTCTACTAAAAATACAAAAAGTTAGCTGGGCATGGTGGCACATGCCTGTAATCCCAGCTACTCAGGAGGCTGAGGCAGGAGAATTGCTTGAACCCAGGAGGCGGAGGTTGCAGTGAGCCGAGATCGCACCATTGCACTCCAGCCTGGGTAACAAGAGCGAAACTCCCTCTTAAAAAAAAAAAAAAAAAAAAAAAAAAAAAGGTAAAATATTGAGATACAGGCTGGGTGCAGTGGCTCACACCTGTAATCCCAGCACTTTGGGACCCTGAGACAGGAGGATCACTTGAGCCCAGGAGCTGGAGTCTGGCCTGGGCAACATACTAAGACCCAGTCTCTAAAAAAGGGGGGGAAAAAGAGAGATAATTACATACAGTAGAACACACAGATCTTTCATGTTTCAGTTCAATGAGTTTTTTTTTTTTTTTTTGAGACAGAGTCTCGCTCTTTCACCAGGCGCCAGGCTGGAGTGCAGTGGCGGGATCTTGGCTCATTGCAACCTCTGCCTCCTGGCTTCAAGCAGTTCCCTGCCTCAGCCTCCCGAGTAGCTGAAACTACAGGCGCATGCCCCAGGACCAGCTAATTTTTGTATTTTAATAGAGACGGGGTTTCACTATGTTGACCAGGATGGTTTCAATCTCTTGATATCGTGATCTGCCCGCCTTGGCCTCCCAAAGTGCTGGGATTACAGGCATGAGCCACCGTGCCTGGCCTCAGTTCGATGAGTTTTAACCTATGTATACATTTCATGTATACAACATGCTAGTCCAGATATAAATCATTGTCATTATGGAAGAAAGTATGGATGTTCCCCCAAAAATTAGAAGTAGAGCTACCATGTGCATATGATCCAGCCATCCTAGCACTGGGTACATATTCAAAGGATATACAATCCATACCTCGAAGAGATACCTGCTCCCCCTTGTGCATTGCAGCATTATTCATAATAGCCAAAGTATGTAATCAACCTACCTGTCCATCAATGGATGGATAGAGAAAATGTGTATGTACACAATGAAATACTATTCAGCCTTAAAAGAAGGAAATCCCGTCATTTATCATGACATGGACATACCTAGAGGACATTATGTTAAGTGAAATGAGGTGCAAAAAGACAAAGCACCATCTCACTTATGTTAGCA